TTATAAATTTGGAGAAGCACATTTATATAACTCTCACGTTATAGACACATAACATTATGCCATTGTTTAATTAAATAATGTAAATTATAATTATATAATTAATATAATTATTTAGATATGGTTGCACACAAACACATCTTATATAATAATAATATCTTATATTATAACCTTTGTTTTGTTGCGTTAGTTTGCTGTTAATTCGTCGAACGTAGATTGTTGAATGGGGAGACCTTTTGCTGGGGATTTCCGTTACATCAGGCGACCTCCGTGTATTTCATGTCACGTGACACGTGTGAAGGGTGGCCGTCCAGGAAAAGGGAGTAAGCTCGACGCCGTACAGTTCAGGTCTTGCGGTTCCATTTGGATCTTGTGACAAATGTTCGGTCAGTCCGAGTCTGGAAATGGGGACCGCAGCTAACGGGATTATAGTGGGTGTACGTTACCGCTGCTTTTAGCCCCGATTTCGTGCATGACGAGTTTATTAAATAAATTAGCCGAATCTCCTGTACGACTAAATCTTCTTGCAGCCACGAAAGATACCCGACAACGATTATGTTTATTTTACCTTGTTGGTCGGTTTATGTTTAATTTAATGTTAATGTTTTTATTTTTTATGTTTCCATGACACTAGGTCAACTCTGCCCACATCTGTAAGCATCTGTAAGCCAATCTATGACTTTCTATAAGCAGATGGGTCAAAGTTTTGGCGAAGACTTTTTATATAGTCTATAGTCATAAGTTATGACTCAAAACAATTTTAAGCAGTTGCTCCTTTAGTGCTTGTCGTAACGTTTTTGTAAATACAGGCAAACAGTCAATTACTTATAATCTAATATTTATTTATTTTTGTCCCAGATTTTTATTGGTACCTACATTGGAGGGTTGTGGAATATTTTCCGGTGTTTTCGAAATACTGTTTCGTGCTTTTTTTGTACTTGTAAGACATTGTTTTATTGTTGATAATTTTGTATGAAAAACAGACAAATAATACGACTTTTGATGCACTTTTTTTCAGTTTGCGGTATTAAAAATACAAACAAAACAGATGAATTTATATTTTACTTCAGTAAAATATATATAAGGTTATAACATATATGTTCATATTATTCAAAATATATAAAATATAAAGTATATAAAAACACTTTCATTTACAATTTTATTCTACTATTTACGTTTTTATAGTTTTGCATACGAATTTATAATTTCTTAAACTTGGGTAAAATGTATATAAGGTTATGTTCGTATTATTTAAAATATACAGGGTGATTCAGACTTATGATGACAAAAGCCTTCTCATCAAAATATGAAAAAAATTCCTAGCTTAAAAATGCTTTGGCCGATTTTATTAAAATGTATATGGTTTATTAAATAATAAATGATTCAAGGATAATAAAAAATCACGTAAAGTTCCTCTAGCTTAAAAATTTACCATGAGTTTTAAAGTGTCAAATTTTTTAGAAATATTCAGGACCCCCACCAAATGTCGGCTCTTAATCTGGCCCTGTCTATAAGCTTATAGACTATTTGCAATTCTGCGCTTCCTGTAGTTTGCAGAAAAATTTATAGAATCGTAAATATTTAGGATCGTTGCTAGTTACAGTTTGTTTTTGTTAAGTTGTGTCAGGCTATTTTAAAGTTTAAAAACATGAATATTTTGAATAATGTTAATGTGGATATGATAATGGTAATATTTATTAGTTGGGTCAAGCAGCATGGGCCAACTACATTAGAAATAATTTTAATTTTGTCTTAAAAAACAATACAAAAACTTTACATTTTTTATTTTATTCTTTTTTACGTTTTTTTAAGAAAAATGTGTTTAGCTAACTTTATATATCTCCATTACCAATTTGAAATCCAAAATTTAATTCAATAAAAAAAGTTGTTATAAAAATAATTTGAAATAAAATGTACTTAGTTCATAAACTTTTGACTCCAATTTTTTATTTATTTTTTATTAAAAATTGTATGCTTTTTTTAAATATATTTAAAAAAACTTGTTGATTGTTTCGACCTTTACTTGATGAAACTCCATATTATTAATATATGAATGAAAACAACACTGTTTTAAAGTTTCACTAATTTATTTATGTTTTTAATAATTAACAATTGTTTCGCTACACTGTAGCTTCTTCAGAATTAGTACTTATTTTAACAAGTGGCGGTATTTATATTAACAACAGGCAGGTAATTTGAGAAGATAAATGTTATATAAACATTATACCTGAAGGTAAAATTTATATAATTACATAATTTTGGAAAAACTGAGGGTTTGGGAAATCCTATCTAATATAATATTATAATATTAATAAATATTACTTTTTAGTACTACAAGTACACACTCTAAAATAAATTTAGCAAAGGGGAGCTGTTAGTTTCAATTTGGTCATTAAGAACAATATCAGATTTTTTCTTTAATTTATTAATTTCCAAAGACTCTAAAAGATTTAGTTTGGTACCTTTATTGGCTACATGTAATATTTTAAAGTTATCATCAAATGTGTGGTTCTCTTGTATTAAATGGTTAGCGTATGAAGAATCCTGTTTAAGGTTTATATAGGATAACTTGTGTTCTTTAATTCGTGTATTAAAATTTCTACCCGTTTGGCCTATATATGTTTTCACAGGTACAAAACGACAACTAAACATTTTCTTGAATTTTATAAATAACTTACACCCGAAAATTAAATTCACAATGGAAGAAGAAATAAATAACTCTATTAATTATTTAGATCTAACAATTCAAAAAAATAATAGACACCACACATTCAAAATTTTTCACAAACCCAGCTACACTGATATAGTTATACATAAAAGCTCTTCTCATCCCTTTTCACACAAAATAGCCGCATTTAACTCTATGGTCCACAGACTCTTAAACGTTCCATTATCAGAAAAAGATTATAATTACGAATTAAACTTAATTAAACAAATAGCAGTTAACAACGGCTATGATGCTCAACTAATTAATAAAATCTTAAACCACAAAAAAGAGAAAATAGCCATTAACAACGTTTTTCCAATATCTAAGATTACCATGAATACATACAATAGTTGTACATATCTAGGTGCTAAGATGAGACATGTATCTAATTTCTTTAATAAAATTAATAGTAATTTAGCATTTAAAACCAACAACAATCTTAGTAAGTTTATCAAAAACAACAAAGATAAAACATCAAAATCTTCAAAATCTGGCGTTTACCAACTAAATTGCAGAGACTGTCCGAAAACATATATAGGCCAAACGGGTAGAAATTTTAATACACGAATTAAAGAACACAAGTTATCCTATATAAACCTTAAACAGGATTCTTCATACGCTAACCATTCAATACAAGAGAACCACACATTTGATGATAACTTTAAAATATTACATGTAGCCAATAAAGGTACCAAACTAAATCTTTTAGAGTCTTTGGAAATTAATAAATTAAAGAAAAAATCTGATATTGTTCTTAATGACCAAATTGAAACTAACAGCTCTCCTTTGCTAAATTTATTTTAGAGTGTGTACTTGTAGTACTAAAAAGTAATATTTATTAATATTATAATATTATATTAGATAGGATTTCCCAAACCCTCAGTTTTTCCAAAATTATGTAATTATATAAATTTTACCTTCAGGTATAATGTTTATATAACATTTATCTTCTCAAATTACCTGCCTGTTGTTAATATAAATACCGCCACTTGTTAAAATAAGTACTAATTCTGAAGAAGCTACAGTGTAGCGAAACAATTGTTAATTATTAAAAACATAAATAAATTAGTGAAACTTTAAAACAGTGTTGTTTTCATTCATATATTAATATTTAAAAAAAGCATACAATTTTTAATAAAAAATAAATAAAAAATTGGAGTCAAAACATACATATATGTATGTTCGTTAAGTTACTTTTTAAAAGAAACCATTCTTGGTTAAAAAAACAATACCATTAATATTTTCTTTTAGTCACTGTATTAGTGAACTATACTCTAATTTATAAACACGTATTACCAAGTGAAAGTGTATAAAAATCATTTTAAGTATTTTTTTTTAACAAAAACAAAAAAAAAGTAACGAAATAGACATTGGTATCACAACGGACTTAATCAGATAACGTAAAAAAGAAACTATATAGGGTGGTACGATTTTAGAGTAATGCATAAACAAAATCCCTTGTAGTGGTGCTCACTTACAGAATAACAACTTAGATTTCTAAATTCTAGACACCCTTTTTCTTTGACTATAAGCTGGTGAAGGTCCCTTTTAGTACTTTTATATTGCGTGGAATTTTTCCTTGGATGTAATCTATACCATGAGTTGTAATTACAAATAATTTTAAATTGGTTAATCATAAACTACTTTTAATAAAAGCGACGGTAAATATCCACTTTGTTGTCGAAAAATTCTATTGCGTTACCCTAAATTTCATTGCGTTACCATAAGGTAACATAGTGGACTCGGTAACGCGTGGACAAAGTTTTGTAAAACCATATTTAAAAAATAATAATAAGACATTACAGTCATTAATTACTCGCAATGAGCTTTAGTGCCTTATTTTTATTATTTTTTTGAGTATACTCAAGTTATAACTTAGCGGACAAACAATTATTACATTCGCGTTATCCGCACCTGTTTCAACCGATATCTTCTTACTGATTTAATACATAAATTCAGCTGGGTAATGTGTACGTCCGAACATAATTTGTTGATCACGTGAGTACCAAAAAAGTTGCCATATATATGTTTTTTTAATATTCAAAAAACATGTATGTAAGTTTTATAAAACGCTATTGGGACAAGCTTTTTTCCACTTTATGCTATGCAGCACTATCCATTTATATTATTTTATTTTTTATTTGCAAAACAAAATATAATTTAACTCATAGAGCTAGCTCTGTGCGAATCCCATTCCGCGATATCAAAGTAAAGGAGTGTCGGCGCGTAAGAAGCGAATTTGCTAGCGAGAAAGGCAGGCGGAAAGATAAAAGCCGGGCGCAAAAAGTCGACTTACAAGCAACATGTATCTGTCTTGCGTCTTCGGCGTATCCCCCAGGAAAACGCGGATTGTCAGCCCGACAAACTAACTCCTTGCCGTCGTCCTCAGCCGACACGTTCAACGATATTATGCAACCGGTGAAGGCGTCTGTCACTTCCTCCTGAAACAATACCACAGTTTAAAACAAAAAAACTTTTTTTATAAATAACACTATGATACAGGGTGTCCAGAAAGGGTAGGGGGTATTTGTATAAGTTCAATTAAAATAAAAGTACAAGTCAGAAATAGTATATTACACTACAAGGGCAGAAAGTGTGAGATTCCTGTACTGCGCGCCATGATGCCCGAGGCGAAGCCGAGGGCATCATGGCGCGCAGTTCAGGACTCTCACACTTTCTGCCCGTGTAGTGTATACTATTTTTCTTACTACCCTGCAGAAAATACGGGAAAAAATTAAATGTATATAAAAAATTTGTGTCAAAATTAAAATCTGACGTTTAATTTAATTCTGACGTTTACATTCAAAATCAATCAAACTGTAGCGTTGTCATGGTAATTCAGCGGTGCCAATACAGTAAAAATAAAAGGTTGTATTTTAATTAACAAATTACTACTTTATAACAAATAAAAGTACCATTAAACACTTAAAACAACATAAAAAGTAAAAAAGTAAAAACATAAATTGTTTATTTGTTGTTATAATTGCAAAATTATGGTTTAAAACTGTCATATTTTTGTGTTTCTCATGTTGGCAGTACGAAATTTAAATGTTAAGCACGCGACTAAAAAATTTTTACTCCCGCTATAGAGTGTGCGCGTATAGCTTGACCAATGCAAGAAACGTAAACTTTCTGCCGTGAAATCGGGGACGAAACAACGTATTTTGAGTCGAGGTAGTAAGAAAAAAATATTTTTTTTTAATTTTTAGACAAAGTTTTGGAAAATTAAGTGCCAAAGATTTTGTTGTCCAAATGTTGACCCTCGCGCTGCTGGCATTCCTCTAACCGAAAACGGAAATTCACTATTGCGCCTCTACACATATCTCTGTAAACAGCGGCAATTTCAGTGCGGATCTTGTGCAGGAAAATTCGTGGTCAAAGTTTATAAAAACAGACCGCGAATTTTCCTACACAAGATACGCACTGAAATTGCAGCTGTTTACAGAGATATGTGTAGAGGCGCAATAGTGAATTTCCGTTTTCGGTTAGAGGAAAGTTTATAAAAACAATCTTAAAGGTTTTCTCATAAAAAACTAATCAAATGGTGTAAGATCGGCGCTTCTCGGAAGCCAGTTAATGGTGCCACGTCGAAAGATCACTTTTTTCGGGATAATTTGATTGAAAACCTTATGTGACTGATTTAAGGGGTGGCAAGGGGCCCCATCTTGTTGAAACTCTGTTTCCACATTAAAACCTTCAAACTTCTGCAGTTGTGGAGTCAAAAAGTTTCTTTAACATGTCGCAATACCGTTCACTGCAGTGAACGGTTAACCTGTTTACAGAAAAAACTCTAGTATAGCATGAATGGGTAAGCCATTAAACCAATGGGATCTTGTAATCTGTATTCCTGAATAACAGTTCATATTATACCAATAGGTAGTTAGCACTTGGTTTATAATCGTTTACTGTTTTTAAATGAACAACAAAAGTTATCGCTCCTAAATCTATTGATATTCATATTGATATTTATTTGTTAGAATGTTAGAATGTGATTGCATTAAATACGAATTTGATTTATTTAATAACGTTACTATTGTTGTATTCTATGTATACATTTAACGCAATAAATTCTTTGACATTTAGGCAAAATATTTCCCTATTTTGATTTAATAGTAATTAATTGAGAAAATAAAAATTTAAATTGCTTCAATTTTAATGCATTCAATGACAGCGCTGTACTTGGTACTATGTTTGATTTTTTTATGTGCGTAAGTGCTAGCCCTCGTCGGTTTTCAAAAATGTAAGGCCCAATGATTCCTTCATCACTTGATTATTTTTATGGGGATACCTTAAAGAGAAAGTTTATGAAAATGGACCACGAACTCTCCTACAATTGAAGCACAACATCCGCAACGAAATGGGCGTTGTTTTCAGAGATATGAGTAGACGCGTGATAGTTAATTTCAGTTTTCGGTTAGAGGAATGCCAGCAGCGCGAGGGTCAACATTTGGACAACAAAATCTTTGGGACTTAATTTTACAAAACTTTGACTAAAAATTCAAAAAAAAATATTTCTTTATGACTTTATTTTTATTGAATTAACAAATACCCCCATACCCTTTCTGGACACCCTGTAGTTCGAATTACTAACATTGGTCTGTGCATTGAGTACGTCCACCTATATTACCTAATTTTGGGCTGCTGAGTTCAAAAATGCCACTCGTTTTGCTCCAGGACTAGGATTAGAAATAATTGCGTAATAAAATGCTCTGCCCAATTATCTCAAAAGGTAAGTTTTTCGTTAATATTTTGATTATTTATTAAATTATTTTGCCCTAAATCTATTTTGGATGTTCAGTATATTTCTTACGTTTTTTGTCAAAAATATACAGGGACTCCATACAAAGTCATCGGTAGATAAATGTCAAATAAAAACATTTTTGTTCCATTGTAGCCGTATAGTATAGTAATATTATATAATGGATATTTAATTTATTAAATACCAAAACTAAAATTATAATGTTTTTTTGGGAAAAAGTATTATTTTTTGAAATTTTTGTGTCGTTTTTTTAATTACTAATTAAATTGAAAAGGCAACAAAGTAAATGGGTTTCGGTATAAGCATTACTCTTCGACTATTATTTGATATGTTTTTATTCACATCATGCCTAAAGTACCCAAAAATTTAATCTCGAATTTTGTTTATTAAGTCTTATCAAAATTTAATATCGAATTAAAGTATAAAGGCGCCTTTATCTACGTTGACGTTCAAGCACACTAAAGTGCATCTATTAATTATTGACATTTAAAATTTAAAGTTTAAATTGTATTTTTACTTGAAAGTGATTTTAAGAAACAAAAATAAAAAAAGAGCAGGAAACGGAAGTGGTAATGGAAGTAGCAGAGAAAAAGAGTCGTCGTTGTAAATTTGTTTTGTTTTTGTTGCGGTACCTTTACGCCCAAGAAAAACCAACCCAATATTTCATCACAAAATTTTATGAGATATACCTACTACTTTAATTTTGCAGGAATATTAAATGGTCCTGATATACGTTTAATGAAATATCAAGCATTTAAAAATGCTCTCAAAGTTGACGAGCTTGTCGCATATGGCAGTGTTAAAGATGTCATTGAAAATGTTCTTGGTTCATATCGGGCCTAAAATTGGCGCCAATTCATTGAAAAAATGCTTTTCGTTTTACAAAGAATTAGCGTTAATATGTCATTTAAAATACATTTTCTTTTTTTTTTCTTCCTGATAAATTTGCCGAACTGATGAACATGGAGAACGATTTCACCGAGTAATTGCAAATCTAGAGCATTGGTAGATATCTATGGGTATAGCGGAAAGAAGTTGGATTCATTGCTAGGAGACATTTGCTGGAATTTGCAGCAAAAGATGTACGACGATGATGAGGATTAAGCACAATAATACTATAATCCAATTCTATATTTGATACGATTTAATAAATTTAAGGTAGAAAAAGCAAAATTATGCAATGCATTAAATTTTGAGGGCTTAATTTGGATAAAAAAAATACTGAAACTTGTTTACTTTGTTGCCCTTTCAATTTAATAATTAAAATAAACGACAAAAATGTCATAAAAGTTAAGATAAATATGATCTATTTGCCTTATACCAATTATTTTAATACATTCAAGATAAATTTAAGCCAAAATAATTTAATAAATAATTAAAATACCATTTTGAGGTGAGCAGAGCATTTTATTACGAAATTATTTTAAATCCTAGACGTCCTAGAGAAAAACTAATGACATTTTTGAAATCAGCGGCCCAAAATTAGTACTTAATGTTAGGAAAAAAAAGTTTGTAAAACTATCATAGTGTTATTTATAATACAATTTCTTTGAAACTTGGATATGAAATATTATTTTTTTATGGTATGACATTTTAATACCAATGCTAGTCTAAATTATAATTTATAATACAATTTCTTTCTTCGCACGACGCCAATTTATTGAAACTTGGATATATCCAAGTTTCAATAAATTGGCGTATACGAGATATTTAATTAAATTAATTAATACAGTTGGTTGAATTAGTTAGCGAAGTTGCTAATGCGTCGTAACCAACTTACCGTAACAACAGCATTTCTAATAGGCTTTCCATCAAGTAGCCATGTTAACTTGGCAGGTGGATGGGATCCGGAACTTTCACATCTAATATTTTGCGACTTTTGTGTCGATAGCAGCGAGTTTTCCGTCACGATTTTCACCTTGTTTGGTTTTACTAAAAAATAAAATATTAATTAATACTTTATGTTAATAAATCTATCTGAAAACAAATACATGGTGTTTCCTTTATAGTTACTATTTTTGCGAGAACCTAACAATATTTTTAATTTTTTTTATTTAATACTTTTATGAACCAACTTCTTTTTTTTAAATTAAGAGGATCCCAAATTTTACACTTTTTTATATTAAAATGCTGTATCGTTTTATAATTTTTTTTATTTGGGTAAATTTTGGCATATTAACTTATCTTTAACCTATAGGTACCAGTGTTTTTATTAAAACGTTTAATATTTTTTTTAAAAAATGGTAAAACACTATAGTGTATAGTATACTTATTTAACTTATTTTAACGGGTAAAACTGTGGATGTTTATTTCTTTTTCAAAAAATTTAGTTGATTATTAAAAAATTTTATTTTTTTACTATAATAGTATCTATATTAAAGAACTAATTTCATAAGACGTCATTTTGTCGCACGCGGACAATTTATAAAACGAGCGAAAAAGGAGCGAGTTTTGGAATTGACGAATGCGACAAAAGGTTTTATGACATGAGTTCTTTATGCTATTTTATATATTTTGCAAAAATTCTATAAAAAAATTAATTTTATACCTTATAATTTAATTTGGTCGAATTTTACTTTAGATAGTTGGTTTGACATTGATGATTGGTTTGACAGTTAATGTCAAAATCGATTCGCTATGCCGTCCTTAATTTATTTATTTATAATAAGCGGCTGTTAATTTTAAAGAAGAAAAAAAGGATTTTCTTTGGTGATAAACAAAATTTATTGCCAGAAAAGTCTCGTAAGTACTAGAAAAATCATAAAAATATTGGAACCAATATGCAAAATATTATGCTGTCTAAAGTATAGCCAACCTATAAAATCAAAATTTTGGGTGGGATAAAGTATCTCGTTACAGCACCGAAAGCGGTGTTATAATGAAGTCATTATGAGCGCAACATTGATAATAGTATATTAAAGAACTAATTTCATAAGACGTCATTTTGTCGCACGCGGACAATTTATAAAACGAGCGACGAAGGAGCGAGTTTTATAATGGACAAGTGCGACAAAAGGTCTTATGACATGAGTTCTTTATGCTATTTTATCTATTTTGCAAACATTTCATAAAACAAATTAATTTTATACCTTATATTTAATTTGGTCGAATTTTACTTTACATAGTTGGTATCTCAGTTTGAAGTTTGAAAGGTCATTAACCTTTCAAACATTATCACATTCTTTCGCTATGGCGTCGTTAATTTACAATAAGTATTTACAATAAGCGGCTGTTAAAGAAGAAAAAAGGATTTTCTTTGGTGTTAAACAAAATTTATTGCACGAAAAGTCTCGTAAGTACTAGAAAACAAATCATAAAAATATTATAACCTATAGGTATTCAAAATTATATTTTACCAGTAGCCAACCTATAAAATCAAAATTTTGGGTGGAATAAAGTACCTCATTAAAGAACCAAAAGCGGTGTTATAATGAAGTCATTATGAAACCAAAATAGATAAAAGTTATTTATCTATTTTGGTTTCATAATGACTTCATTATAACACCGCTTTTGGTTCTTTAATGAGGTACTTTATTCCACCCAAAATTTTGATTTTATAGGTTGGCTACTGGTAAAATACAATTTTGAATACCTATAGGTTATAATATTTTTATGATTTGTTTTCTAGTACTTACGAGACTTTTCGTGCAATAAATTTTGTTTAACACCAAAGAAAATCCTTTTTTCTTCTTTAACAGCCGCTTATTGTAAATACTTATTGTAAATTAACGACGCCATAGCGAAAGAATGTGATAATGTTTGAAAGGTTAATGACCCTTCAAACTTCAAAATGTGATACCAACTATGTAAAGTAAAATTCCACCAAATTAAATATAAGGTATAAAATTAATTTGTTTTATGAAATGTTTGCAAAATAGATAAAATAGCATAAAGAACTCATGTCATAAGACCTTTTGTCGCACTTGTCCATTATAAAACTCGCTCCTTCGTCGCTCGTTTTATAAATTGTCCGCGTGCGACAAAATGACGTCTTATGACATTAGTTCTTTAATATACTATTTTACAACAGTTGTAATCAAAACACACCCACATAAAAAGGTGTATATTTTTTTAATAAAAACTTGAAACATACATGCAATTTAAAACTAAATTTAAAAATAAACCTGTAATTAAAATATAACTGAGATTTTTAGGTGGGTACGAACTTTATTTTACAAAATTTATTTTGTCGTTTTAATACATTTGATTTTAAAAACAGACAATTTTCTAACTGATTTTAATTTTTTTTAATACAAAAGGCACTATATAAATTAGTGTCAAAAAAATAGAATATTTTTTTTTTACTTCCGAAACACAAAAATTCGTTCTCAGGCACCTCTAGAAAATGGTCGCCAAATTCGAGCTCTTAATTTTTTCTTTAGTCCCTACATATTTCATTATTAATTAATCGTTTAATTATATTCTTAACATATTTTTGTATAAAATTGAACACTAAGAAAAAAGGACTGATGTGTTTAAGCGATTTCTCCAACATCTTTTAAATGGCTCAGTAGGAAGTAAAAAAAAATATGTATATTATGTAGAAATATATATATATATATTAAATTGTGGGTGAACTAAAAATGGTATTTAAGCTCAACAACATTGCGAGTTTGTTTCTATGGTAGAGCTTTTCGCTTTTGACAGTGGCAGTAGACTGGGCCAAAAAAATCATCTATTTTTTTTTGCAAAGTATATCGAAAATATGGTTTGGGGTGACACCAAAAATTATTGTGAAAGTTTGAGTCCATAATATTAATATTAAGAGGTCTATCATCGCAATTTTATTTTTTTTTCCTCAGCAAGTTTTAGGCTCAGAACTCCCAAACCATTGAGTTTAACAAAATTGATTTAAAAATATTTGTTTAAGAAAATTAAATGCTCTACAAAAAAGGTTAAAGTGAAATTTTCCGTCAGATGAACCGTTTCCTTAAAATCATGCCTTAAAAATTGGTATAGTTTTACATTTTGATCTTTTAAATTGGAATTTTGTAATTCATGTAAAAATCAGTACCCGATAAATATTCTTATGGAAAATCAAATGCTTTACAAAAAAAGCCTCTTAACATTTTTGGCTAAATTCACTCAATCAAAAGTTATTCAAGGTTAAAATTTCGTTTTGACAAATTTAACCTTGATTAACTTTTGATGGAGCGAATTTACCCAAAAATGATAAAAGACTTTTTTGTAGAGCATTTGATCTCCTATAAGAATATTTATCGTTTTTTTTTTCAGGGTACTGATTTTTACTTGAATTACAAAATTCCAAAGTTAAGAGATCAAATTGTAAAACTATACCAATTTTTAAGGCATAATTGTAAGAAAAGGGTTCCAATTTAACTTTTTTTGTAGAGCATTCAATTTTCTTCAAAAAATATTCCTAAGTCAATTTTGTTAAACCCAATGATTTGGGAGTTCTGAGACAAAAACTCGCTCAGGTAAAAAAAATCTAAAATTGCGATGATAGACCTCTTAATATTAATATTATGGACTCAAACTTTCACCATATTTTTTTTTGTCACCCCAAACAATATTTTCAATATACTTTCGATTTTTTTGGCCCAGTCTAATATGCAGTGTTATTTAAAACCTTAAAATAAGTTGTAAAAACGAAGTCCTCTACAAAGAAAAATATATTTAAAAAAAGTATCCATGGGAACAAAAAATAAAGCAAAAGAAAACGCGCAGTTTGTTGAGTGTCTAAAGAGAAGATCAGAAAATCATAGAAGGCAAATATATTGTCTAATTATTTAAAAAAAATTAAGTTATAATAAATAACTTAACACAATTGTGTACTTTAAAAACTAAACTATAGTAGTAACCAAATAAATCAAACTTAATTTCCCTAGATAATCAAGTGTTCGTAATCCAGTGTTGCCAGATCTTCTAGACTAGAATGACAGATTGATATTTTTTGTTGGACACACTCAACATTATTATTGCTTGAAATACAGTATGTCTCAGTATCTTGGAATCATATGGAAAACTTTTTTATTATTAATTTTAAGAAAAAAAGTTATTCTTTATAAAAAGTTCTGCATGGTGTAAAACTTAAAATGCAACCCAAAAATATTAAATTTTTTTAGTCGTATACGGGGTATGTCAAAAAATATGAATTTGGCTCAAGAGTAAAGTACCTTTATATTTGACAATATCGAAAATTGTTATAAAGAAAAGTTAATCAGGACTAAAAACTACGTTCAAATATACAATTTTATCCATCTACATTAAAAAATTAGGTTTTGTTAATTTTTACTAATCTTTCTATTTTGAATGAACATTTATCTGTTATGATTACAAAAAACATGAAAACCTTTTCGTTTCTAAATGTTTTCTAAAAATTTTGCAATTTTAACACGTAATTAATTAATTTATTTTCCAAATAAAAAACCGAGTAAAAAACACATACAAATACTAACTAAACTTTTACACAAGTGTAATTAACATAATATTAATACTAGAAATAAATGGAAATTTAATTTTCACTCATTCCACTAACGCCTCGACATATCCACCCTCTTGTTTAATACATTTTATTATTCTATTAGAAAATTCACGTAATACATTTCTTATTTTTTCTGGAGAAATTTTTTGGCATATTTCTAAAATTATCCTTTTCAAATGATTAACATCTTGCAACGGTCCTTTCTGGTGAACTTTTTGTTTCAAGTAATATTTTGGTAACAGTTGATTAATTAATATTTTTATTCTCTGTGTTTTATAATTTTCTCCCACAATTAAAACAATTTCTATTTTTTCTTCACTAGTTAATAATAAAACCATTTTGGTGTCATAAACTAACGCGTTTTAAAACTTACTGTCAAATATTTGTTGCTATCAACAAATCATTTGTTTATCAGTGCATCCTAGATTACATGTTACAGTTAAATTTGCATTGATATTGTAGACAAAAAAGAAAAAATATATTTTTT